ATTCCAAGGCTATGCCGAATCCGCGAACTTTATTCGAGGTTTTCAGAACACTTGGACGTCGTCATTGATGTTGCAAGAGGAACTAACAGTCCGGCAAGTTCTTCTTTGCTGTCATAGAATCAACAAAATTATTTAGCATAAGTGTCATCACTTGCTAATTCTTCATACAAACTTACTGAAGTTGGTGATATGCCATGAAAAAAACCTATAACCTACAAAAAACCAAGCCGAGATAGAAAGAAGCATGAAAGACGGAATTGCAGCAGCATATCCACTCAACCTGCATTTCAACAAAGGGATTTGACTTATCATTCAGGTTTAGAATGTGCTACAACAAGAGATTATTATACAAACAAGAGATCATTCAGGTTTATAATGTTCGAGATTATTATACAAACAAGTTTACTCACATCTGCTACAAATGGCCACAATTTGGACAGCAACTTGTTTAGCCATTTCACCTGAAAAAGCCCATCAACAAGAGTCATACACTGCTTTTGCAGTCCATATTTTGCTTTAAAATATAGAAAGGATCATACATAGAGAACAAACATAGTGTAGAAAGCCCCCAACAATTAACTTCCAAATTGATGTCATTTGCATTATAGGAAGCCCCCATATACTTTAATACTGCACCAACAACTTCTCTAGGAGAATCTACCTTTTTATGTTCTGGTGTGTGATTGCAATAACAAATTTATATCCTCAGTTTTAAGACCATTCTGCAGATGATTTATCCTACTTTATTCGAACATAGATACCAGTTTTAACACCTTGTTATGGAATGAAAATTATACTGCATTGATGACCTCAATGAAGTGATCAGCATAAAAAGAGAGATAGAGAAAGAAAGAATCCAGAATTTCCTTTAAAATTATAACCCTTCTTTGGCCAAAATTATACCAGATATTTCTTGTGTTTCCAAACTTTATATTGCACTTATAGTCTCCTAAACACAGCTAGTAGATTAGAAAATATAGAATGATCAATTATTGAAGCAATATTTTCTTGTCCAGCTCACTTGATTGGTTTGAGCTAGATGAAAGTTAGAGGTAGAGGGATATCAAGAAAGACTGTAAGTTAAACCAATAAGAGAGATCCAGATGCCCTCTCAAGCAAAAAGAGATTTGGCGGTAAAGGTCTGTCTTTGAACTTAATACATGATACGGAATTACGACATTATCTGAATTCTGAAGCATGTAGCAGAAACTCTGAAAAATGTATTTATTTTCAATTAGCAGAAGAATGAGATATTTGGTTCGGTTTATTTCATTAGAAAGTAGAAAAATTGCTTCCTTAAGAAACAAAAAGAATTGACCAAAGTTCACAATCAATGGATATCTGTAGTGTACAATCATATTTACCACATCAAAAACTTCTGCGGGAAAAAAAAAACTTGTTACATACCTGGACACCACCTCGTAAAGCCTCAATAACCAGGTACTTCAATTGTTCTTTGCTAATAGTAACATCCTTGAGATACTCTCTAGCCAAGATGATCTGCATAAATATTAAGTCATAACACTGTTTCTGTCAAACTACTCAGCAAAGCCAATATTGTGGGAAATGAAATAAAAGCTGTCAACTCGGAAGTTCCATTTAACTATATATCAAAAGACAAAAATAAAATAGACAAAAGGAATCTAAAAAGCAGATACCGAGCCAACATATAAATCGTAACATTAGTAATTTTGTTGAAAGTTTTACAAAGTCTCAGCTGGGAGACTCAATTGCTTTAGGTCCTCACCACCTATCAACCAGCATTTACATTTTAGAAATGACATTATGAATGTGAACCTATGCATGATTGTTAAAATCATACTTGCTAGTCATACAGTGGCTTGTAACTCTCAAGACCAAGTAATTTTATTTATTGTGTGCATAGCTTAGGCTACAAGCTACTCTACTTTACTCTGTTTTCTTGTTGGCAGAACCCAGGTTAAAAAGGTGTTTCTTCGGCAGAATAAGGATGAGTAGAAGGGAATAGAATTTTGGATAGTTTCTATCGTAAAAACCAGGACCAGTTCAAGTTACGGCTGTTTTAACAGTTAGTTAAATATCACAACCAAATTAGAGGAGAAATACAGAAACAACAACATATAAGAACCTTCGTCAGGGTTAAAGAATATATTGTAGAGTACAGCCGTACCTCAAATTAATTGCAATGCGGTCTAGCAGATGTTCACGAACAGAACCTTCGTCAGGGTTAAAGAAAATACTGAGAACAAAAAGAAAAAAATCAATTACAAACTACAGCTAACATACGAACCTCCATTTCATCCATAATGGAAGGCGCTGTACGCTCTTGATGAAACTGTCCTTTCTCTATCACCACGTGCTCAAGCTTCAACTTGCCGAAAGCTCTTTTCAACATTCGACCCTGTAAAAGGACCATGTCATGCTCATCTCAAAATTAGAAGCCACCACTTACATGCCATACAAATATACTATACTGCCAAATACCTCTACTGATTGTGCAGTTGCAAGCCTGTATACATGAACAGGCTTTGTTTGACCGATTCTATGACATCTATCCATGGCCTGCAAATCCATTTGAGGATTCTGGAGTACAACAAAATCATAAGCAGATTGCAAGTCAAATATTGTAAAGCAATTAGATAAATGCCAGACAGAAAAAAGTCAAAAAGTACCCAGTCACTGTCATAAAGAATATAAGTGTCAGCTGCGGTAAGGTTTATTCCTAGTCCACCCGCCCTAGTAGAAAGAAGAAAGATTCTGAAACGACTGTTTATATCATTGAACTCCTCGATCTGCTCGTGGGCCAACAAAACAAACATAAATTTAGCTTTTTCAATCTGTGACAGATGATTAGGATCAGCATTCCCAAGAGAACAGGTGATGATTACAGAAGAGTGTTGCAATATAAATCCATGATTTAAACAAAAACATAGATTTTAAAATCAGTGCCAAAATGTAGTAAGCCGCGGATAATAAGAGCTTTCTTTATTGAAAAACAAGCACAAACAAACAGGCCCTTAAGTTATCATTTATGACAAAACAGACATATTTGAAGATCGTGATGCAAGATTCTGCATTATTAATTTCACATTCAAAAGAATCAAATCATAAAACAAAACATATTAACAAAAGTAATTTGAGTTATCTGATTAAAAGTGGTGTTTACAAGCACTTGTACAGACCTGCCGTTTCCTTTCATCCAGTTTCACTGAACCATCAATCCTACAAACTTCAAAGCCCTTTTCACTAAAATAATAATCTATTAAATCTAGCACTTTAGTCCATTGACTGAAGATCAGAACCTGATAGCAATAACCAAAGGTGTGAGTCACAACTTGGCGACACAAAAAAGGAAGCCAAAAGCAACACATGTAAAGCATACCTTGTGAGTGCGTGCAAATAACCGCTCCAACAACCGGTTGAGCAATTGGAATTTTCCACATTGCTCAATTATCTCATTCAAGGGAGGATAAAAATCTATCACAAATAAAATGCAGCATATTATTTGTATCACTAGTCATAACATTAGCTAAACCATCCAACCATGTGACAACTTACATGAACCATCATAGGGTGATTCTAAGAGGTCAGGATGGTTACAGACTTTCCTAAGTTGAATCATCAAGTTATTAATACTCCCCACAGTACGCCCTGCATTAAATAAAATTAGTAGAGTACAGTACATAATAAAAAGCACATTGATTTAGATCACAATATAACAAAGCACTTCTTTTTTCTCTATGTTGTTTTCCTTACACAATCCAGGAAATTATATTTCCAACAGTAACATATTGCCATATGACAGTGGAAATATAGAAAAGTGTGAACAATAACCAGTAGGAATAGAACACTAACCATGACTCAAATTCTTCAAGAGATGAGAAAATATCAGGTAAGATGAAGTTCAGCAATGACCACAGCTCTGCCAAGTTATTCTGGAGTGGTGTCCCAGTCAAAAGAAGCTTATTTTCAACACTGATGTATTTCAACATCTTCACTAATTTGCATTGTGAATTTTTTAGCCTGTGACCCTGAGGATATGATTAAGGTTGAGTAAACACATACAACAAAACATAGAATGTGTTATGCATGCAAATGAAAGAATGTGTACCTCGTCAACAACAAGATATTTCCATTGATATGCCCGAAAAAATTTCTTAGCATCATTCAATGCAATCTCATAAGAAGTTATTACTATGGGAAATTTTGGACCAATTGTTCTAGGCATATGTTTCCTTCTGATTTCATCTCTCTGATCCCTACTACCGTGGTAGATAACAGTAGGGAGCGATGGCACAAACCTAAATACATTTATTCAAGAAATAATTATCACAGTGAAGAAGCACAGCATAACAAAATAATACTAGATATAAGAATATACCTAGATATCTCATTCATCCAGTTGGAGAGGGTTGATAGAGGAACAATTATCATATATGGCCCATCCAATCCTTTTGATTTAAGATGAGAAAGAAGCCCAATAGTTTGGATTGTCTTCCCAAGACCCATTTGATCAGCAAGAATCCCATTCAATCCATTTTGCCACAAGGAGATTAACCACTTTACACCCTTCAATTGATAAGACTTCAATTTCCCACCAGTTAGTAAAGGCACCAACTCCCTCTTCTCTTTCTCAGTTCTTTCTTCCTCACTTAAATTCACATCTTCAGTCTTCACGGTTTCTTTAGATCTTGTTATCATGGCTTCAACTGCCTTTTTGGCTTTCCCCTAAAGTAATTTCAAACATGATCACAAAATACGATGAATAAAGTTGTGCTTTGGTATGATGTATTTGTTGAGAAGGAAAAGAGATGGTAGGCATGTTATAGAATCTATTTTTAAATTAAAATCAAGAGAATGCTATATGTATACAACGAGCCACAGATACAAGGGTGTGCAGTTACCATAATAACATAGAAAAAGTCATAAAGTAATGAGATATTAACTTGGAAGACTCGCCTGAACAAATTTCCCAAAACCACGACCTTGAGGAGATCCATGGTTTTCTGCTCTCACTCACAATGACTGACTTTCTAGCTATAAACCCACTCTCCATTTCAGCTACAGACTCTCCACGCTTCCCCTTTCTCAATTCACACCCAACTCCTTCAACCAGAACCCAACTCAAGCCAATTTTCCTTTCCCCCTTTTCTCCCAAACCATCCAAAACCACCTATGCCAACAACATCGTTTCCGCAACCTTGAGCTCCAGCTTCAACGGAAGGCCAGGTCCACCATCAAAGGGCCATAGCTTTTACAAAGAACTTCAATTTGACAACACAACGGAGAACGATTTTGAGTTGGAGTTGGAGTTGGAAAAAAACCCACTTGACGAGGGTTCGTCCAAAGAAACTGACGGGTCTATTCCATTAGATGAGAATGATGATAAGGGAAGTGGAAAGAGTGAGAACGAGATGCGGGAAGACGATTTGCGGGAAGACGATTTGATTCGGGTTCGCGACGACGGAGAAGGAGATGAAGGGGTTGATTTGAGAAAAGATGATAAAGTTGAGAAATTTGGTGGTAATTTTAGATTAAGGAAAGGTAAACAAGTTATTAGACAATCAAATTTGTTGGCGAAGCAGGTGATCAGCATTCAATCTGCTCTTAGTTTAGGATTTGTCTCCCAGTTTTGGGTGGACACCACCTTTGTAAGCAAATAGCAATTTATTTGTTTGTTTTTATGATGGTCTTTGTATCTGGGACTGATTAGTTTATTTGTTTGGTCTTTTAATTCATTTCAGTAATGCTAACAAATGATACTTTAAAATTTTAGTGAAATATTTTAATAGCGTTTTTTTAAAAAGCGCTATCTTAGTGAACATAGGATAGTTTAATAATAGCGCTTTTATAAAAGTGCTATTATAGTGCAACATTTTAATAGCGCTTTTTCAAAAAGCGCTATTGTAGTTACATATTTTAATAGCGTTTTTTAATAGCGCTTTTATAGTTACAACATTTTAATAGCGCTTTTTAGAAAAGCGCTATCTTAGTGAATATCTATAATAGCGCTTTTTTACAAAGTGCTATCAAAATCATATTCTCTGTACTCTTTAATAGCGCTTTACTATAAAGCGCTATTATAAATATGTTTGTTTCCTTTTTAATAGCGCTTATTTAAAAAGCGCTATTAAAGTAGGCGATACAAAAAACCAATTTTGGCGTAGTGAGTGCTGCTTTAGATCCTCACCATGAGAAATCACCACTAAAACCTGTTGGCATTAGTATTGAAGAGGTTTAGTTTGGATTTGATATTTGTCATGCTTAATGTTGGGATCTGTTTTGCATTGATTCCACTAGTGTTGGACATGTCCTTTATCATTGGTTGGATTCACAATTGTATTATTGAAGTATGAGTTTATCAACTCCTAGTGGCTGGTTGTTTAATTTTGTGCTCATGCTAAGATGTGGTTTGTGTTTTTGTTTTAACAAAGTGGTAGCTTTCATCTAAAACATTCTTGAATTAGTGTATGAGCTTGACATTGTGAGGACCAAAACTGTTGTTGTCATGAGATGGGGATTTTGGCTGTCAGCCTTCTGCATTATGGTGAGACTGTGGCGTGCCTTAAGTTTGCTAGACAAGAGTTGTTCTAGGTAGGCTAGGTAGGACTAGGAGATTAAGACTCAGTAGGTTTTCTTTGCCTATGTGAGTTAGTACTGTCATTGTTTAATTGTTGAAACTCAAGCCAGTTTTGTTCTTCAACAGTTAGGATTCATGTGTTTTTATTTGGCTTTGATTGGTTAAAACCCTGATGTTTGAATTAGTAGAACAACTAGTTCATGTTGCTTGTTGTTGGATTCATACCTTTGAGGTTTTGTTATCATGTATACTGTTTGGAATCCTTACTGCTTGGCCTCTAATTGAAGATTCATCAATATGTTTACTTCCCCTCGGTTTCCTTGATTGAAACCTGTTGAAAGAGGATCTTGATTGGTTTAGAATTGTCTGTTTGAATTTCAAAATGTGTTGAAACCACTACTGTTGTTATGGTTTCCTTTTACAAAGCATGAGTTTGGATCGTTATTCAAAAGGTCATATCTTGCCTCAGTAGAAAGTGCTTAGGTCTTTTGCTTAAAAAATCATCTTGAACAACAGTTCTAGTACTGAAGCAGGCCTGTGTTTGGCCTTTGAACTCAACCCTTTTGTGATCACTTTATTTTGGTTTATTCATGATCTTGATAGAAACTCATATACCAAATTTGTGCTCGAATGTATTTTGATCAAGAATCTTGTTGAAACTCACTTAATATTGCATTTAAAGCTTAAACAGATCTTTACTTATCCCCAAATGCATCTGGTTTGGTCCTTTGATTTCAAAATGTACTTCAAGTTTCTCTCTTGCTTGTTCATTAGAATTTTGTGATGTGTGCATTATTTTAAAACATGGTTGATACCATTGCAATCCTCATGAAAAATCAAGCAAGATAGACTTTTATTTCATGGAATTTGGATAAGATTTGAAGAAGTTAGAGCGAAACTGTTTCTTGACATTTTGCCTTCAACTTGCCTTGAGAAGTTGCCCAGCCCAGAAATACGCGCGCATCTTGGTATATGTAGAGCTGGGGTGGCTTGATACAACGGATGTATCGCCACCCCAGTGGTTAAACGCCTTGCCTTAAGTCACTTGTCATGCCATATGTCCTGAGTTTGACCCCCAGCGGGGGCGTGTTTTACCTTTTTTCATTTATTTTCCTTGTTTTTAATATTTTTATTTTCCTTTTCCTCTTATGGCACACGTGTTTAGTGGCTGGTGTGGCTTAATTTTGAGCCTTTGAACCTTGGGGGAGCTCCTTCTTTATTTTTAGCACTTGTTTATTTTTATTTTATTTTATTTTAGTTTTTTTAGTTTAACTTTCATTCCTTTTAAAAATAGTTTTAAATACCATAAAAATCCAAAAAAATCATTTTCTAGTATTTTATTGTGTTAATTTTCATTTTATTTTTCCATTTATTTTTATTATTATTTTAAATTGGATTACAAATTAATGTGCTTTGTGTGTGCTTTGATCTTGTCATGAATTTTGGTGTTTGTTTGCCTACTTTGGTGTTTATTTGCATTATTCTGTTTGCATTGCATTGTGTGAATCTTAAGAAATGTTGGTTGAGATGTGCTTGTAGTGGTGGCTGCCCCACACGTTTTCCTTCCTCTTTTCTTTGTGTATGCATCTTTTCTTTGCATCTCATTTGTTTGCATCGCATGTTGACTTGTTCAAGTCAATTTCATTTCTTCCCTATTTCATTTGTGAGTTAATTATTTAATATTTAATTGTCCTTGTGCCATGATCCCCCTAGGATTCCTAGCCCCTCCGTTTAGAATGGGAGTAGGAGAGACATTAGGTGTTCAATCCTATGCATGACAACATTATGGTAGTTTTTTCCCTTTCATCCCGAATTTATGAGCATTATGCATGATAACTTTAGGGTCCAGTTTCCCCTTAGTTCGAGTCTTTCTCTTATCATCTCCTAAATGTTGCACCCCAAAATTTGACCAACCGGTTCCCATATCTGGTTTATGTTTCGACGCATTTTGCATTCACATTCGCATACTGCCTGCATTCCAATTTTCTCAGTCATATTGATTTTATCGGGATGGCATCCCCTGGCGTTTCAGGCAGTTCAGGCCGGTTTGAATAAGTGTGTTGAGATTTGGTGCTCGTTCCTTGTGTTTTTAGGCCATCTCGGTGCCCGGTTGTCGCTATGGTTGCACATTTGTTCTCTAATCGATTTAATCGGCTTCCGGGCATTTTTAGGATTTTTTTTTATTTTCTAGATTTTTAATGCATTTTAATAGTTTTTTTAATAGATTTACTTGACTTTTAGATATTAAATAGGTTATTTTTTTTAAGAATTTAATAGATATTTTCCTATAGAATTTAATAGATTTTTTTAGATTTTTAAATAGATATTCCTTTTTAAAAAAAAATAGTTTTAGTGGTTTTTTTAGTTTATTAGATATTAGTTTTTTTGCATTAAATAGAATAGTTTAAAATAGTTGTTAAATAACCCTTTTAGATTTTTTTAATAGTTTTGTGATGTAGTTAAAAAAGAGAGGGAGTATAATAATGTTAGATTAGATTTTTTCATTGATTTAATAGATTTAATATAGAATTTAATAGGTTTTTTTATAGATTTTATTAGATTTTTTTTAATTGATTTTATAGATTTAATATAGGATTTAGATAGTTTTTAGATATTAAATAATATTTTTTTATGTTTTAAATAGGTTAATTAGAGTTAATTTTGTTTTTTAGGATTAATTGGGGTTTTATTATTATTTTTCGTTTAGTCTTTAATTAGGATTAATTAGAGGTCTTGATTAGGTTTTTAGTTAATTTCGTTTAGTTTTAATTAGGGTTCTCATTAGCATTTAATTAGGTCTTAATTAATCAGAGTCTTAGTCTTAATGGTGGGCCATTATCCAGTCAAGGCCCAGTCAGAGAGGTCCAAGAATTATCAAGTGTCATTTAAATAGCGATGCCACGCGTGTGCAAACCCCTTCAGCCACCTCACAGATTTTGCCAACTCATCAGATCCCACTATTCCTCTTTCCTCACACGTGTTACGTTCTCCTTCTCCCCTAGTGCCACACATCCCTCACTGACTCCACCGCCGCCAACCCACTACATGCGTGCGCCACCTGTCTCCCACTCAACAACCCTCGCCGTCGGCCATGCAAACGGCCGGAGACATCGTCGGAGAGATTTTTCGCCGCCGCAACTGATCGCCGGAGTTTGGTAAGCTCGCCGAAAACTGAAATTTCCCCAGAACTCATCCAAACATCATCGATCTTCTTCACTCTTCCATCAAGTTTCTCACCGGAGACTCAAGAGCTCGCCTGAAAATTCATCGGAATCTTCATCACAGCCACCTAAAAATTCAACCGTGTTCTTCAACTTCCAGAAATCCTCCATAGATCCTCAAGAGCCTTCATCGTTCTTCATCAAATCACCAGAAAATCTCCAAGAACAATCTTCAAACGTGTTCTTCAATTTCCACAAATCCTTCATAGAACCTTCATAGATCCTTCAAGATCTTTGAACGTGTTCTTCACGTTTTTCCAGCAACTTCAAGATTCTTCTCCAGTCATCATCCGTTCCAGAAGAACCTCAAGAACACTCTTCACCCAGAAGCGTCAGTAAATCCTCCAGTCTTCGCCAGGCTTCATCTAAGATCCAGAATCTTCAGCGTTTGAGTCATCCATCCAGGTTTCTGCTCAAAATCCTTTACTTATCGTATTTTTTTCTTGTATTGGTAGCTGAAGATTTAGGGTAGTTTAGACGATAGTTTGTGAAACAAGGTTGATTTAGGGAAGGTCATCTTGAGCTGAGTGGTAGTTGGTGAGATCGTCTGAAGTTTGATGAACGTTGTTAGCGAGGGACGGCGAACGAAAGTTGGCGAGGGATTGGAATAGAGTTGTTTCAGAGGATGAGGTTGAGAGAGGGTAGCGGCGCTAGGGTTTCGGTGGAGAAGGTAATGAACAGTGTGAGGGAGAGTTCGGAGAATTTAGGTTTTGTTTACTGAAGGCTATTGGCAATGGACTCGGGCTTAAGCCCAAACATCGTTTTACCAAGCATACCTCCCCCTTTACTCGTCACACCCCTCTCCCCGTGTGTTTCTGCATTTGGGCCATGGGCCAGTTTACTATTCGCACCCCCCAATGGG